GGCCCCATGGCCTGGCTGGCAGCTAAAACCGGGGGCAGGCTTCTCGCTGAGCTCGGCTCCGCCAGGCCCAGGCACACGGACAGGACGAGGAAAACTGCCCAGAGCGCATGTTGTGCCGCGCAGGCCTGCCCGCAGCCTTGGCCGATGTCCAGGGCAGGAAACCTTCCCGCCCTTCCCTAACCTATTAAGTATTCAGGGGAAAAACGTCTATAGGTTGTAGGCGATCAGCAGAGAATGGCATGGGAACAGGCTAAAAGAGAGCGGAAATAAGCTCTCATCCAACCTCCCTCCGATTCCCGGCCCCACGGAGATGCCAACCCATCCAACGGCCAAGAGCGGTATTGCCAGCCTGGTTAAGTGGTTTGTCTCAGAGTTCCCCCGCTTCCAGGTGAAGCCCTCTTGCAGAAATACATCAGCTTTGTCCTAAAGCTGTTCAGGTCCCGTGTGCCTGCTGTTGGGAAGGTTGGGCTGGAACTTAGATGGTTTCAAACGTTGAGCTTCTCCGCCTAAATGTGTTCATATCCAATTTATAACCATTACAAATATTAAGAAATATTTTAAAGATTTGAAAGATTAAAAAATAAATCAATAATTTAAATACAGTTTTATAGATGTCCTATAGTATTATTTCAAACATTTTAATAGTTGTATACCTTGAATATGGTTTTAATACTGTTTTATCAATTCTTTTTATTAATATTTTTATGGATACTGTTTTATTAATAGAGTTTTGAAACAGTTTTAATACTGTTTTATTTCCCACAGTTTCCCACAGTGTCTTGTTCCTCCTGATGCGCAGTCACCATACCCCTTTCAGCCCTTGTTTTACTGCACAGAGCGAGCAAAGTCTGTATAATCAGGACAAGCTGATCACTGAATGTTTTAAAAGTTGCTGGGATTGTGCAAAGTGCAGCCCAAATCAACTCTGATTCAGACGTGAGTCATATGTTGGTCAACCCATCAACTGTATTCACACTGGGAATTATTTATATCTGGCATCTGCTGGCTTTTATAAGTTACAAAGGTCTGAAACTAGGTTTCTGTTTTTCAAAACGGGTTTACTTTTCCATGGAAAGTTAGCACTGCTAGCCCCAAGCATGCAAAAAACATGTTCTCCCTTTCTTTTGCCCAAAGTACATATTATCTCTTTTAAGAAATCTGCCTATTGTTGTTTTCTGGTATCTGAATAATTGGGATTTATTTGAAATATTTGTCTAGAAAATAAATAGTAATAATAAAAAGAGATGTGATCTCATCTTTTGCTTACAAGAAACAACATGATATCTGTGTCTGAGATGTTCTGAGAAGCTCCAGAGGCTACAAAACTCAGCAAGTCTGAAAATCCTTGTATGCTCACTCCCTTGCTGTCCACAGGCTCTACGCTATTGTGAAAGAGGTAAGAGAAAATGCAGTTCTTTCTACAGAGTTTAGTTTGAACATTTTTTTTCCCATGTTATTTTGGATGCTGTATCAGAAGTTAAGAAAACATAGGAAGGAGGGAACTCTTCATAACTTCCATAGAGTAATTTCTGTAAAAAGAAGCAGGACTCCCCCTCCCACCTAGTGCTATGGGAGGACAACGCGAACCGTGAGGCCGAGGTCAAGCAGCCACATGCCAGCTCTGTGGTTTCACCCCTGTTGCCATTTGTAGGATCCTTTGTCTCTGGTAAGAGTTCCTTTGCTTCTAATGCTTACAATTTAAAGGAGGAAGATGCACCCAGGTCCTACTTTAATGCTTAAAGAAAATCTCCTCCAAGAAGTTTTTTCCGGAGAGATAGAAGGCAAGGAGCATCCTTCAAGGATTAGGTTTGAGTTCTCCTATATACAGGACTTAAAAATGCAGTGACTAACGTAAACAGCTGCCAACAGCATTCACTGTGAGGATTTCTTATAAACTGTTACACATCAGGGGAAGCGAGAAAGCCACGTTTTTCACCCATTATTCTCTGCTGGTATTAGGCACGATTGCCTCTGTAGTTATTTTTCCTAACAAGTTACATAGTATAGAGAAAAATTCACAGAAGTGGAAGAAAACATCTTTGTCTTTATCCAGTCAAAGTAGCTGTATTACATTATGTTTATTAATACCTGTGTACTGATGCCAAAAAGTGGCTCTGCCAGATCTTGGCTTTGCAAATTATTTAATGAAGCCCTCAACGTCCTTCCCTGCTCCTCCTCAGAGCCAAAGGCACTGTCACATTCCTACCATTGTACCTTCCTTTCTGTTCCTTACCCAAGAGTTGAACCTGAGGGAGTGGGAATGGGGCCGGGTCTCTGCCGATTTCCCCGGCTCCATCTCCCTCTGTGAAATGGGGAACAACGTGGCACGGGTGAGGCAGCTTCTAGGGAATGAAACAGCCGTGTGTGGAAAGCATCAGATGCTTCTGAGCTACTTTTATGATGCATGGAAACTGAAAACAACAGCTGCCACCATGTTGGGCTCCCGCAATGGGATTTCTTTGTTAGAGGGCCCTTTTCTGTACAGGAAGTGTAACCCTGCGCATTGTAGAGGGCCCTCCAGAGTCAACTTAGCTGTTTGCTGGAGTAAGCAATACAGCAAGGCCTCTTTATGAGACTGGTTATGCCATTAGTAGTTTAATAGCAGAATCTCTGGGTCCCTCATCGAGACCAGAGATCCCGCGTGGGTGCTGTACAAGCACAGACAGAATTCCCTGGGCTACCAAGTTTGCAGTGTAATTAAGAAGGCAGGATGAAGTGTCGCGAGGCTTTTCTCCTAAACAAGGAATAGGATCCCGATCTCCCATGTCCCTGAGTCCAGTGGTCATTCTTTCCATATAGCCACTTCAAGGGAGAAATCTTTGCAGACTGGTAATAATCATGGCCCTTTGTCACCAGAGAGATCCCTCCCACACAACTGGAGCTTTCCCCCATTGCTTTTAAAAGCAAGAGGTCAAAAGGATGGGAAGAATTGTAAGATTTGAAACATCTCCAACATAACTGTGAATCTACTGAGCGGCACAGATGAAGAAGAGCTGTGTCGTTCCTACCGCCCACAGCAGACTGCTATCCCTAGCCTCCAGGCTGGGGGGTGTGAAAGGTGAAATCCCAAGCAGCGGCATCCCCTCCCTGTTACCACAGCCAGCCACCTTACGAAGACCAAAGATTATCCTTTGTTTTGAATGTGGTGGGGTAGGCAGGAAAGTAAGATTAATCACTTTGGATTTCCCCGGCTGGGTTTTCCCACAACATCCTGTATGTTTTCTGCTTGGTGAAAAATTGTAGTCTTGTGATTTGCCTCCATAGTATACTCAATGACAGCAACACTGCTGACTGGATGTCAGATTCCTCTGAGCTCAAGCTTGTGATATTATGTACACCCAACACCCATCACATGAGGTCCACATCTGTTCCTTTCCAACAGGAGATATCCAGGGAAGGCGGCTTCTCTTCACACACAAACTCACGAGATTTAAACCTCTGAATCCTTCCAGTCTGTTGTGGGGACTGAGCTCCTGAAATGGAATTTCTTTGTTAAAGGGCCCTTTTCTGGTCTTACTTCCTACATGCACACGGCTAATCTCCGGAGCTGCAGACAATTTAGCTAATCTTCCTGAACGTGCACAGTGCAGATGAGGCATGGGCGGCCCGTGATGGTTTCATACCATGTGGAAAGTCAGGGCAGAGGCGCTGATGTCATTCACTCCTTCCCTGCTGCACCAGGCAGATATTCAGACTAGTACTGCAGACTAAGGAAGTAAGCTGCAATTCCTAGTTACTACAATTCAGTTTACTTCTATGTTGCCTTCACCCCTTATCTAGTTATTGTCATTTCTCTTCACAGAGAATCTGAGGAATGAACATAAAACATCGAGAACGGAGGACCATGTGTTGGGGCTGAAATAGGTTGGCTTGTATCTCGAGTAATTCAGATAGGCTCAAAGTGTCATAGCAACACAGAGAAAGAGAAGGCAGGCCCTGTAACACCTAGCTTTTTATCCATCTCGAGATCACCTTCCCTCACTCCTGGATTCCTCTTATCTCAAACTGTGGGAGTGAACGCAAATGAAACAAATGGTAACCCCACCAACAAAAAGAAAAAATAATTAATTACTTTATTTTTTTAGTTCAGTTGGCCATCTGAGGTGCTAAAATCTCAACACCAACAAAGCAAGTGTGCATAAAAACAAACAATAAAACACAACCAAACAGGAGAAAACAGGCTGGAACAGAGTAGTTGTTTTTTTTTTTTACAGGTAGGGTATACACTTTTCTATTAACACTCCATACATGCCAACCGTAAAAGCCTTGAACAATCTGAATATCAGAGTTCACTTTCATACAAAAGGGAAGATGCCAAAGCAGATCCCTTCACCTGGATTAGACTTCTCACACACACACGCATGCACGCACACATATAGAGAGCATTTAAATTACTGCAATGCCATCAGAACATGACATTCTCCCCTTAGCATCTACACTCTCAATGACATCCTCATCTGTCTGGCTACCCTGCCTATAGCAGTACTGAGCAATCCAAAAGCAGAAATATTTGGAAAGCTTCTATCTCTGTTATTTTGCAATAGTCAAGAGCAAGCAATCTCTTTCTCTGTGATTTATATACAGGCTGTTTTTTAGTATGCTTTAGAGTTCTCTTTATTGCAGACAGTGACAATTTAAACCCCCAACACAGCCATAACGTGGCTTTTCAGTTTGTACACAGGAGATTTTATAATGCAACGCCTTTCTCATCCACTGGTGTCCGGTGTAAACATTTAACTGAAAATTCAAAAGAACGTTAACCAAACAAGGTGTAGCTGTGGACATTTTAGGAACAGATGCTAAGAAAATGGAACTGCTGGCTGCTCTAGATCATGCAGTCTAGACCGCTTATAATAATTCATAACGTTCAGGATTAGAATGTATAAAAATATTAAAAAACACCAGAGTGCACACAAATGTGGTGACTAGCTCTATGCAAGCACCGTGTTCTAACAGAGGCCTAGGCATTGCACAAAACTCAGGTTCCTGACCGCAGGGGTAACCCAAGGACCCACTGGTGTCTTTACATACAAACAAATATTTACATAAAATGCAGAGACTGTTAGAGAAGGACAGACTTTTAAAATGTGCGGTTTGCTCTAAAATATGTTCAGCAACGCAGTTTGTAACATGCCCTAGCGAGACCATGGGATTTTGGATAACTGAAAAAGGGAGGAGTATGTCTGGAAGTTGGAGCTGAAAGATAATCATGTCATCTCCCCACGCATGGTTCGCTGAAGCTTAGGATTTTACAGCCATTTTTGAGTTTTAATGAAAACATAGTAGAAGAAACAAAACAGTTAAAAACGTTGTTTGTACTGTGAAAACAGCAGATTAGTTGTTTTGGCAGTCCTCACTCCCCCATCCCCATGAACCTCCTGGGTGTTCCCAGGAGACAGTATCCTCCTCCCTTCCCCTTAGGGGACTTAAGTGCTCCCCCATCCTCAGTGTGCCCATTATTTTAAAGCGAACACAGGTCAGGCTCCAAGCCCAACTGTTCTCCCATCGCATGGCCTGGGCACCCAGCCCCTGATATGGACAGTGCCACAAAAGGCAAAGGCACCCGCTGTTGCCTGCCCACTTCTCAGAAGCTGAGGGCCTTTCCCTTCGTTCATATGTGAAACAGCCACACGTGACTGAGCCATGTGCTACTGCCCACTTGGATAGCACAAAGAGCTAGAACATCCTACTTGGATTCTGATACAAATAAGGAATCTTGTGGTCACAAGAGCCTCCTTCAGCTTTAAAAATATAAAATTTGAATTAAAAATATTCAGATAGTAAAAAACCCCAGTATCTGATATGCAAGTTATATTCTTAAAGTGCAACTGAACAGCAAGTACAAGTTGTGCCTTTTACTACCATTTAGATAGAAAAAGGCCTTTTAAGATTCCCATCCATGTATTTTTAACTAATTTATATGTGTGCAATGTTAGGTCTTCACTTTCATTCTCAGTGCTGGAGGACTTCAGCATAACCTAAAGAGTTTTAGAGTATGAGGTTTTCCCCTGCAGTAGGCCATTACACCCTCAAGTGATATCATTGTTCAGCTTTGCAAAGATCTGGCCAGCGTCCTTCAGCACTAAAGGGAAAAGTCGTAATCTGGTATTTCTTCTTCAGGATTTCTTTCTGTTCTGCAGCTCACATTCAATGATTTTTTGTTCAAAGTCAGATGTGGTCCATATACATACTGCACTATAAAATGGACAGAGGCCAATTCTCTGTACAAGAGAATTTACAATCCACTACTGTCTAGTTTCCCTCTCTTCCCTTCTTCTCTCCGATTTCCACTGGCCACTCAAACACAGACTATGTAAACTACCGCTGACAATGTGACTTCTGCAGCTGGCCTCTGCACTGACACACGGGGGAAATTCTGTTGGCGGATGTCCCGTCGGTACACCAGCACTTCAAGGAGTTTTGTCCCAGGATGCTGGTATAGCAGGTACCACTTCCTAACACACACAATTACTAAGCAGCACAACAGCTGCTTGTCTGCTTTGTTTCATGAAAGTTTGGGTTTAATTTGTAATGCTTCAGCAGAAAACACTATGGAGAATGAAGGGAAAATATTTGAGGTGGAAAAAACATGTTTGCAGTTAACGAGCACTGCTGAGAGTCTCTGGGGCCTGTCCTTAGCTTGAGATATGTTCATGAGTCAGATATGAATTCAAATTGTAGACCCTGGCCAACAGAAGACATCTTTGTGGAAGGCAGAGAGCCAACAGCAAGAAACCACGTTAACTTCTCTCCTGGGGCAAAAGATTAAAGGATGTTCAACCCTGCTTGGGTATCTTGCACCAAACAGCATATCCCCAAGCTGAAAGTCAGTGTGCTGCATGAATATGCTTGGGAATGAGACACTTTCTCAAAGACATTGGGGAGCAGACTTAATATTTCTTAATAAGAAAAGAAAACAGTCAACAACCCAGGGGGAAAAGCTCTTAACTCACCATGTTAAGGATGAGACACCTACCCAGCGCACCATGCTATTTCAGCTCTGTGGGACAAGGTAAGGGTGTACTGTGTGCTTGGGGAATCTGTCAAACAGTGAATGGTGCCGAATTGCTCAGTCCATGTCCTGCTCATTACTTAATGTAGGATTACATTGACCACCCTCCTAGCTTAAAAGCAGCAGCTTCACTAGCTGAGCCAAAAGGCGCTTCTTCCAATAGATGCAGCAGGAAATGTGCTATTTTTGCTTGCATGGAAGTCCCTCCAGCTGTATCTCAAGAGTGCGAGGGTCCCTTCTTTCAGTGAAATAGAGACACTGGGGATATCTCTTCCTCACAGTTTTGGCTTTCCTGTTATAACATTTAATATTTAAATACCTTTTTAGGTTTATCCCAGAGCGAATCTGGGATGCAGAAGAAAAGTATGCTAGGAACACACAGATTCTTACAACTCCATGAATGCACCGGATTTCATCAGAAAAGAAATCTGCTAGGGCAGGATGCATCCAGGGGTCCATAAAGGCTGCCCTTGTTGTGAAGCAGGGACCTATCCGCAGTAGTGTCTTCCTCTGATAGAGTTAAAACACCCCCTCCACAATCAAAGATGTGTAACATTAACATTATTAATAAGAACACTAATAAATAGCCACAGGTAACAACGTCCAGTAATTTAGAAGTGGAAGTTGTAGGATGCAGCAGGCACACACACCCATCACTCGTCCATATTTTTCGTAAAAGATACAAAAATGAATCTTCTTTCAAGTATTAAAAAAATAAGTTAATTGACATAAAAGGGTCAAAGTGACTCAGGGCCCAGGCAGGTCTTAAGCTTCGTTTCCAATGTGCAAAAACAAAATACAGAGGAAAAATAAAAACACTGAAAAGTCTTAATGGTGGTTCAGTCACTCAAGGGCTTCTCCCTTTCAGGGGTCTAACAGCCAGGGAAGGCTGCCTGGTAACACCCCTACCCCAGCACACACTTACTACTGTCCCACAGTTAGCATTTTCCAGTGTCAAAACAAAAACAGAACAAAGAAACCCATCAGCCTCTGAGCTCCGGCCGTGAAGACTAGGGCCAGGGGTAGCTCTCTCTCCAGTGTGTAGCAAAGCAGAAGGGCATCTTGCCTCTCTTCTTCTCCCCTTTTCTCCCCGCAGCAAACACAAAATTTAGGAGACTACGACAGGGAGAGAGTCCTCTGATGCCCAAATCTCTCTAAAAACCGGGAGGCAGGGAGTTCCATCACACATACTAGCAGAATCGTCTCTGTCTCGTATTTCTTCATATCCATGCATAATAATCAACTGCAGGTTTCTTTGGTGGGGAGGAAGACTAAAGCAAAGAAGGTGCTGGCCTGGGCTTCTGGAGCTCTCTTGGATAGCTGACTCCTCCATACAGGCTGCTACAGGCTGCTGCGGTTTTCCAGAGAGGGTTGCCACTTCCCTCCCTTTTATTAGAACTGGCGTAGTGAAAATGGGAAAGGAATGGACTGCCACAAATCCAGTTTCGTTAAGGGTACTTTTCCCCTTAACCTCCTTCCCCCCACACAGAGTTTATTCCTTTCCCTCCTACCAAAAGGAAAAAATACAGTCCATTGTATGGGACCTCGAGGAGACTGCATAGTCTCAGCCCACTATCTTCAGCTTGGCTTGCAAACATATGAAACTTAAGCTTCTGGAACCAACACACTTATCAAAAGGCTTCTGAGTGCTTCAGACTGAATCCCTGCACGCTGGCGGACTCTTCCGAGGTTTCCCCTTCAACATCTCCCTATCCATGTAATTCTGACGAACTCAGGGTAGGCCAACTGGACAACACAGACCAGCAGAGGTAAATGTTTTAAGCTCAGGACCAGTTCAAGCTAAAACCTTTGGAGAGCATGACAGCCTCCAGGTCCTTGTCTTCCTCTTTTTCTCGAAGCCGTTGCTCCTCAAGGAGAGCCACAAGAGAATCTCTCTGCTCTACCACTTCTAGCATCTCATTCAGGATCCTCTTCTCCTCTGAGAGCTCCTCATCTGTCTTCAGATGATCTACAGAGAAACCAAAATATGTTAGCATCCAGAGGACTAGAAATATGCCCATATGAACTGTGAAATGTTTCGTTTGCTCTCACCTTCCACTGCCATCCTCTCCCGGAGTTCCTGCTGTAATCGACTCTGCCTGTCTTCCAGTTCCAGTTCCCGAGCGCTGAAAGGGAAACACACCAGGAGTCCAATATACCAGTTCTGGGTATATTAAAATATTCTATACATTGCTTTGTATTCATTCTCAATTTCTGCCCTCCTCTAGGTATCTGCTACGCATTTTACCAATTCCTTTTTTTTTTTTCCCACTTCCAACTCTTAAGATATGTAAAATATACAACTAATTTTTAAGAAGATTTAAACATACTTTCAGCATCTCAGGTTCTTCGCCTTCAGCTCAGAAGTGGAGTACGGAAAGATGAGAAGGTTATGGAGGAATTCTCTTTTACATATAGTTGTGTACTAACCAATTTGTTTAGTCCCAGTGAAAATACTGCAAATCTAAGACGCTGTGTGAAGGAAGGACCAGACAAATCTGCAATTGCTGTCAAAATCATACTTTATCCCTGTGTATCTCCTGTCACCTCCCACTGTCATGAAAAAGTTACTTATCAACTAAGGACATTGCAGGCCATTGCCCTTTCAGGTTCCAATGCAGACAGTACCTTGGAGCTTTTCTGACACCTAGAAGGACACAGAGTTTCTACACTGTCCAAGTCAGGCTGACATACTCAGAAACTAATTTCAGTGAATTTGCAGCATGGGGACTAAGAAAGCTCCCAGGTTCATTAACAGGAAAAGCTTTATCATCTGAGCCCAGAAGAGAAGCAGTCGGGTCCCACCATAGGCAGAGAACAGGGCCACATCGGAAAATATGACTGAATTAAAGGAGTAGGACGCCAAACAGTTTTGGCCACACTCATAAGCAGACTCTACCAAAAATAGAATTAATCACCTATTACTTCCAAATCAAAACACAGAAACACATGTGGGAACAAGACCTGTTTTGCCCAAGAACAGCTCAGAAGGGCTCAAAACTTTGAACAAGCCTCCATACTTCAGCAAGTATATCCAATACTTTGAACTTTCATTCCTTATTAGTTCTGCTTTGACCAGAGATTCTTCTGAGATGTACTTAGATTCATATCTCAGCCAAGAATCAGCCTAAGAGACTTCTGACATCCTGGCATTATAGGGAGAACAGTACTAGCAGATCTTCCAGGACTATTTGTAAAGTATTTCCTCTTTTGCAGCTTTGCACATTCACTCACAATATCATCAGTTCAGACTCGTAGCGAACCAAGGCATTCTTCTCCTGTACCAGCTTGAACCACTCCTGCATCAGCTTTGGATCATCCTTCTTTCCCATGCCTGCCAAAACAGAAACGTTGATAAGTTTTCAGATAATGCCCTGCAATCCTTACAAGCCCAAACGGCAAAAACAACAATGGGGGCAAAATGTGCAAAGAAAGCCGAGCAAGATGCTGCCAGAGCACTCCCAAGCCGGGTCCATTCAGTTTGCCTACAGCACACAGAAGAATGGAAGTCACCTCCAAAAGGGTTCTCTTCTCTTTGGAGCCTGAATTTTTTGCTTCCTGATTTCTTGCCACCACTTCTTTCTTCCTCCCTCCCACTGTAGAAAGCCCAGATGTCTGTAGCCCATTTCACTTTTCATTAGAGTAGCTTAATAGTTCTTGTGTTAGCTACTTAAATGTGTGCTCATCAGAAACTGATTCATTTGCCAGCTCCATGTGTTTACCCTTATTTTCTTCAACTGCACATCCTCAATCTTTTGTTTTACTAGCCAAAAGTAAACACCTCGTCTTTTCTCTTTTCTTTTTTCAGTGGCCAAATCAATCTTTTTTCACTCCTCCTCCTAGCCACATATCTATCCACTTTGGCGATCCCCGCTGCACAGTACACACAGAAATGACTCCTACTGTATTGCACATCAGCACTGGAAAAAAAGAGAGAATCCTCAGCCACATTTGCTAACACAGAAGTAGGAGAGAAAATTCTTGGGCCTCAATCAGCCAATACAGAACTCACAGTTGATTATTTCATTTATTTTACAACCAACTCCTAACCTTACTCAACAGTCCACTGACAAATCTCATGTTTTTCAGGCGTTATGTAGAATAAACTGCAGAACTCTGTTCTCAAAACCTTCTCTTGATATTTGTCAAATGCAAGAGCTTACCATGGAAGCTCCTCCTAGTATTCTCCTGTTTTCGGCCCCTGATTCCACACTGAACTACCTCGCAGATGAATGCCATGACTTATATCAAATGCCAGCAAGGACACTAGCAGTCTGTCTACCTGCACAGAAGTGGGGGCAGGAGCAAGGCCTCAAATCAAGCTCAACAGCATCTTCTGATTGCAGCATCCTACCTGCACTGCATATAACCTAGGCTTGCTAAAGTAACTAACACCTGTGTCGTTTGTTATTATGGATACATACCTTGAGAGCAAAACCTCTCTAACAGTGGTTTTCATTCTAAAAAGAATCAAGCGGCAAGCTTACTATTCACTCTGGAAATCTCTACACAAATATCACGTTAATGTCTAGTTAACTCATACCTATGCCCTGCCTCCATTCTTAAGGTCTCAGAGAAGTATTGCACTGGAGCTAAATACACAAAAGCCTAAAATTCCTATTAAACTGCAGCTTAGTTTGAAAATACCTCCTTTTGAAAAATTGCAATAGTAGACCCTTGGGAAATACCAGCCCCAGTTATACCACCCTGAGAGCCTCTGGCTCTCTGGATTTTATAGCAGTGTGTTGCTCAGTTCCAAGCATTCCTTTCTGAGCATCTCTGCACAATATGCCCATGTGGCGACAGGAGAGGGGAGACTGTACATGCAGATGTCCAGTGCAGTGGCGCCATGAAAGCACTGGGAAGTCTCCCCATCCTTTCCGATGCCAGGATGTATAGAAAACAAATGCCTCTAAGGAAAAGCCAAAAACACAATGCTACTGACCTATGAAGTATTTAATTACTTTTAAACAGCCAATGAGCAGAGGAATAATGGGAGGTTTTGGGAGAGAGCGTTGACAACAGATGTGAGGGAGCACCATGGAAAGCAGAGTAAGTGGTTAGCAAAATTACACCATGAACACACATGAACAACCCCCTTTCCCCATGCCTTGGCAATGGAAACTCTACGGCAAACTCCATTTGGGACAGTTAAAGAATACACTCAGCAAGACAAGATCAGAGAAGACTGGTCTGGCTCAAGGTTTGTTGGTTCTTAAACTTCTGGGATGTTTTGCAAGCCAGTCTTTATAAAGAGACAGTATTCCTTTAATCCATACATACAAATTAAGAGACCATTTAAGGAAGGAGATTTTCTTCCCTCAACCCACCTTCCAGTTATCTTTCACGCAGAATAGAGAAATTAAAATGACCAAATGAAAACAGAAACTTTCGAGCGTGATGTTACTGCTCCCACTGCTGCTGCCCAAAGTCCCTCCCAGTCATTACACCCTCCCTACTACGACTCGAAGCAGAAAAAGGGATACTGTACCTTTAATAATGTGCCACAGGCTCATAGAGCTGGTTACTAAGTTGGTACTGAGAAGGCTGGTTTGGGGAAAGACTGGTTTGGGGAAACAGCAAGAAAGGGGCTGGGGACAGGGGCCTTGTGGTCACTAGCTGACTAGCACTGCTACGACAACCCAGCCGTGGTCAAGGAGAACGGGGAGCGTGAGAGGTTACATTACCTTCGTGGGCACAGCAAGGGCAGAAGGAGAGAGGTCTACGACGTGGTGTCCCGGCATTGGGCTCAACTTCAATAGGACCAAACGAGGAAAAGGAAGAGGCAGGAGAGGAAGAGGAAGTTGGAAGTGGAAAGGAAGAGGAGGAGGGGGGTGAAATAAAAGACAAGCAAAGGACAAAAAGCATAAGAGTGAGAAAGAAAGGAAACACAAGAAGAAAAGAAAAGAAAAAAATACAAGAAATGGAGAAGCAGAAACAAGGGATACACTCTACAGATGAATAACGTCCCTCATAAGCACAGGTAACTGATAAGAGGTAGACTGAGGTACTGGCGAACTCTTCTTGAGCTGTACAATTACCAGGCAGGAGGTTATTGTTGACTTTTTCCTGATACACATTCTCAATCGTATGGTCTTTAGCAAAAAGATTTGTGAACAAGATGTCAGGACAAGCAGAGATGAATAGTTAACCGCTGCCGATATATGTCAGATTTCAAGCAGGGTTTCAAAAAGTCTCTCCTGCATGCATAAGACTCCAGCTGTGAACAGCCACCCGACTTTAAAGGTTTATCAGGACCATGGTCTTATCACCATGGCAGCATTCACTGATGGTGAAAGTGCCCTTTCAATGGAAAATAATTCCTTCAGATGGCGGACATCAAAGGGAGAATCTGATTAATGTGGAACCAGCCTGCCAGGATCTGCTGCGTCACGTATGGTGAGTACACATGTACTCAATAGGTGTACAGTACGTGGAAGGGAAACAGTGTTTACATGGATTTAAAAAAGTGATTCACATCAAGGCCTGTGGGGGAAAGATCAGCTAAGAGCTTTGCATGGTTAAATGGTAAATTTAAAGCTGTCCCTTGACATTCTCGTTTTGCAAAGCATTTTAAAGCCTACAAGTCCTGTTATAAGTGACTTAATGAACCTTTTTCATCTTTTCTATCACTTAGTGAAGGGCAAACATTTCTCATCTCTTCAGTGGTTCAGCTGTTTTAATGCTGAGAATTTGCTTTTCAGCTGCACTTTACATTACAGAGATCAATAGCAGGAAATAACCAACATCACTCTAATTTACAGAAGAATATATGCACCAAAAAGGTGATAGGCCTGAAACAGCAAAACTAGAAGAATGAAACACTTACTACCCTCAATGCACAACTGAGACATTTCTGGGAAAAGGCATAAACTCCACAACAATTATGCGATAAGAATAATTCATGATTTGGAGACGTTAGCAGAGCTTGGTATCTATGGTTAGGAGACAGCTTTATAGAAGTCTAGACTATCAGCAAACTGGGAAGGCTTTAGAAGGGACCATCACAGAACTAGACCAGCACATGGAGGACACACTGGAGCAAGAGGGAGAGCACATCAGCTTCAAATCCTGTGCCTGAGCGGTGTGGCTTTCTCAGACAGGAAGAAACTTCTGTACTGGGAGTAGGAAGGGACAACATCAGGAGAGGTTCCACACTTGACCATATGATAGTTACAGATAAAGCATCATATCAACATTAGCTGACAGTACTAGAACCTTAATTCTAGTTGTTTAGAATGTTCCGACTTCATTTAAAATGAAAAATCCTAGGGCTTTTTTTCCCTATGACTGCCATTTCATATGTTCAAGCAAAAATAAACCAAAAAATCCCAAAGCCCCAACCTGTACAGGCTACCCACTGTGAAGAATAAGCGTTCACACAAGGCAGAGCATTTAGTGCAAGATACCTATTATGTTATTTTCTTTCATTTCCTATCTTATTCAACATTAATTTTCTAACTTGGTGTAACATCAGGGAGTGAGATTTTATTCAGATTGGGAGGGAAGGGGCAGGGGGGAGCCTGATAACTCAAACACAGCTACATTTATAAATTTCAAACTATGGGCGTCCTGGTGAGGAAAATTCACAATTTGCTCTATCTGAACTGAAAATAAATACCCAGTATCTGAATATGTCATTCATCTCATTGTGACATGGCCATAAACTACTAACTTTTGTCATCAGTGAGCAAAGGGTCAGATCCTGTGAGAAGATACAAACTTTAGTCTCCAGTACAAAGCCACAGGACTTACACAGTGAAGACAGAACTGCAGTTATTCTTCTCCTGTAGTATGGAACCCCCTCCCTGCAATTGTGTTTTATACCTTTGCTCCTAGTTGTCCTTTTTTCTAGTAGAAATACAATCCTCCCACTCCACCTAAGGAAAAAGTGTCCTTGAATCAAGTTACAGAGTCCATGGTATCTGTAACAATCCTGCTACTGAAAATGTTAATATTGCTCTTCAGTAAGCTAATGAACGTAACCTGCGGTATGAACAGTATATCCAAACTGCATCCTTTTCAGGTACTCTAGATGTATATTGTAGTTGCATCAGTGAACACAGGTTACATGATCATTACAATTGCTTTACAAAACAACTTCTGTCCAACCCAGGATGAGGAGCGAGCCTTTAAAAATTGTTCTTTATGTACTGGAGGTCCTAAAGAGCAATGGACAGAGTAAAGTGCAACCTGAAAACTTACCTCTTATGATTCTCTTAAACTTGTTATACCCTAAAATGTGCCATAATCTGAAGTCAAAAATATTAAAAACATATCAGATAGTGCAACTTTAAATATACTTTTAAAAACTTCTTTAAGATGACAGTCATGAAAATTGGCACCCTCCTAATAAGAGTATCGATACAAGTGGTACAGATGCTATGACAGACTGAAATAGGAATCTTTTAATTTTAAGAGGAAAAATATTTTATCATATTTCTTGAAACGGACAAAGATTTTCACTGGCAACAACAAATCCTGAAGTGTATTCCATGTCACACATTTCACTATCCCTTCAGGTGAATTCTTTCAAGAAAAGGCCTCTTAACTGTTTCATAAACGGAGAACCAGAAAAAAAGCTCACCCAATAAATGGAAAAAGTATTCCTTTAGGCAGATGATCCATTTAGATAATGAGTGTATTATCAGCTCATTCACATGCCTGCTGAGATTAACGTAAAAAATACAACCATACAGCAAGAGTTCTCACTGTGTGCATTTCTATTTCGAGGCAATTCTGAGAAGAGGCTCAACTCCTCGGCCAGTACCATTCAAAAAGACACCTATACAATACCCAAGTTCACAATACAGTGTTAAAAATTGTGTCATCTACCATGCCTTTATCACTTTTCCTGTTCCATTATGTAAATCCCTACATATCTTCTTATTTCTTCCAATGCCATCCCTAAATTTACAGCATATAGCACAGATTTCTCATTACTGTTAGCAGAGCTAAGTCCTAGAAATGAGAAACCACCCCCTTATGAGCCCGTTAAACTAAAAACATGATCCTCACTGAAAGATAATTTTCTTGGCCATGGAGTCAGGGCCAGGTGCAAAAAAAAAAGTTGCTGTCAAGAAAAAAAAAAAAGTTTACCTTTAAATCCTCCCCACTACCAAAAATAAGTTGGGTAAAACACCAGGTCAGGTCTGGAAACATAGGTCTTCATCCACAGCACAGACAGCAAGCTGCAGGCAGCAGCAATACAAGCCACCCCCTGCCCTGCTGATGCAGTTCATTCGCAAAATGCTGAAGGGCAAAGAAGAACCGTTTCTGTGGCCATTCCCTTCTTGGGCTCTCTGTGCTGTCAGCAAGAGTCTTAAGTTTGATCACAGCTTGTGGATAGAAAACTAACACTTTTTTTCCCCAGAGAGGCAAAACCACCACCAGATTGTATTACTCATCAGTTGTTCCCTTTCAATATCACATGCCAACTTCTCTGAAATCTGTGCAAAACCTTCAAAGCAGAGGTCAGCAGCCCATAGCCCAGGTACCAAAGAGGGTGTGTAAAGGAGTTCAGAAAGGTGCCCAGGGTGACAGGTATGGAGGCAGGAGCTGCAGCATTTCGAGGAAAGGAGCATCTCCAGCTCCTGCATGTTCTGAACTTCGTGGAGGGGTGCAAGCTCTGCCCTGCAGATTAGCAAGGCAGCATCGATAAAAGTGACCGGCATTATCTTGCCTCTGTGAAAAGGAGCATTTCCCAGATCTTAATGTGTTCATGCGACCATGTTCAGTCTCTGATTTAAACAAGAAAGGTCTGGTTTGGCACAGTACCCCTGAGAGATTGCAGACTTCACCATAGTGGTTGAAACCAAGAGCTGGACCAAGAATAAATGCCACAGCTCCAAAAACTCTTCAAAACAAAGAACAGAAATTTCATAGTTACCACGAAAACACACCTTTTTCACTGTACATTGTTCTTTGTTACACAGGCTACACTGGATCATTGTCATCTTTTTCTACTTTTTATTTCCTCATTGTTTAAAGAGAAATACTTCAGACTGGCTTTGTCCTTTTCTGCTGTAGCTACAGAATACTACTTCACAATCTCAAGCACAGCAGCAAAAATGATCAGTCAGGACGATGAAAGCACAGTGGGAAGTTTAGGGTGGCAGACGCTGTTACCCCCAAGTGACAACTCACCATTGATCCCATTCATTACTTGAACATACCCTATGGCATGAGAGCTGTGATGATTTCTTAGAAATGGTGAGCCACTGGAAATAAAAGCGACTTGAACAGATATACCACAAACCAGACGAGATCAATCCCTTTGCAAGCCTTGCATCCAAGGACTTCGATTTATATATTGCTGATTAACAAGGGCAATTTGGAAATTAGCATATGGCAATACTGGGAGGGAAATCCAGCTCTGAGGCTAACCTCATGCACCACTTTGCTTGTGCTTGACCTCATAAGCTAAGAACATGATACTTTCAAAATTGTTCTTCTACTTACAATTTGCATCATCCATTTAGGGGACAGACTAAGAGCTCTCGTTTTAACTCAGTGCTTCAAATAAGGATCAGTCCAACAGAGAACAGTAAAACAATCTGCATACTGATCACAGGAAATATCCTCTTTCCCACTCTAATAATCAGTTAAGTTCAGAAACTGGAGAGCTGAAAAATAAAGCATTCCAACTTTACTACTCGGTGAAGTTGTTCAACAGCAGGATTGCAAAACAGCATGGATATGCAAAACAACCACCTCCCAACTGGAGAATAATATCCACACAATTGCAGGTCTT